GACAGAAACCAGACATCACAAGAGTCACTGCATTCCTAAAATTAAACGGATAGAATTTTACACTCATTTTGTATTCACTTTGAAAAGGTCTAAGGGTACGTCTACACTACAGTGTTATTTCAAAATAATTAATTTGAAATAGCTTATTTCAAAATAACATGTCTACACACAAAATGCAATTCAAAATAGCATTTTGCTATTTTGAAATAGCACCTCCACACTGAGTGGACTCTGAATCGCATTAAGGCTGACTGGAACCAGTTCCAGCAGGGCACCAGGTCAGGATTTAATGTGTGGGGCTGCTGCCTGAGGCTATCTGAGGTCTGTGATTAAAGGGACCCCCCTGGACAGCCAGTTCTCAGGTTTTCCTACTTGCTTCTCTACCTCGATGAGGGACAGCAAAGCATTTTGTGTCTGCGTGCTCTGGTTGCCCTCACATGGGACACCACAGCATTCTGCGGCATGGAGCCAGAGCTGCCTCTGGGCACTCTGGTGCTTCTCTTGGTCACATTGCAGCGAGCCTGGCTGCACTTTCTGCAGGCTGCCATCAGGGAGGTCCATCGGGGGGCTGTCAGTATCCAGGAGGCCCTGCGAGAGAGCTTCCACCCTGAGGAGCACTAAGAGTCTCCCTGGCCTGCCCCACTGGGGGCTTATGCTTCATTCCTCCCTTACATCCTTCCACTTACCCTTCCATAGCCCCCCTTCCTGATGTCAAATAAAATGCATGTATTGTCAAAAACATAAACTCTGTTTATTTAATAAAACTGGGGGGTATGGAACTCTGGTGAGACTGGGGAAAAGAGGCAGGAAAGGGGAGGAGAGAGGGAGGGAGAGGGGAGGGTGAAAACTGGGAGGAGGGAGCTGGAAGGGGGAAGCAAGGGGAAGAAGAGAGGAGAAGTTCAGGGTTCATGGGTGGGGGTCTCACCGGGCCAACTGTCTCCCAGCATAGTGGGTGCGGGGACCTCGGCGTCCCCAGGGGTATGGGGTGGAGGCTGTGGAGTTTGAGGAGGGAGAGGCAGGGGCGGGAGAAGGAGGAGGAGGATGCAGCACGCTCCGCACCAGGGTCTGCAGATGGGTATAGATGATAGAATCCTGGGCAAGCAGCTCCCACTGGAATTCCCATTCATCCTGCACCCATTGCTCCATGGTGCGGTGCAGGGTTTGCAGGGTCCCCAGGTGCTGGTCTCAGTACCCCTGCAGTGTTGCAGTGGACCTGCTGAGCCCTCGGGTGCTGGAGTATGTCCCGGGCGGGGTGGTGCACCCTGCACGCGCAGCTGGTGCGGCTGTGGAGAAAGAAGAGAAGTGGTCAGTTCTCCCTGGGAACACAGTGGGTGAAGCCCAGCCCCCTTCTGCGAGGTGAAGATGACCGTGTTCTGCACTGTCATAGCCTCTGTGCTTGCACAGAGGCCATGGTCGGAATGTCTGGCTATCCCCAGGAGTGGGAGCTGCCCCGAGACCATACCCATGCCCCTCTGCTATGTATAGTGCAACCGAGGTGTGGGGGAGATGTCCCCTGCCTGTGTGTAGATGGGGCTTGTGAAGGGAGGGCATCCTGCTGTGTCCCACCCCAGGGTCAGGAGCATGTCAAGTCTCTTCACACACGCATGTGGCTATCAGGCCACAGTCCCTGTGGGAGTGTCTAGACTACATGCCTCCTTCGACGGAGGCATGTAGATTAGCCAGATCGGCAGAGGGAAATGAAGCCGCGATTAAAATAATCGCGGCTTCATTTAA